CTGTTGGGGGGGGTGATACCTGCTGCCCGCCACTGCCTCATGCTGTATGAGGGGGTTCTGCATGAGCCCCCTGATCCCTGTCCGGTCTCCCAGCCCTCCCTGGCTGCCCTGCTTGCCCCAGCTCTGGCCCTTTAAGAAAAAAAACCAAAAAAATCCTGGACTCTCTGGTTCCTGCCTGGCAGGGGGGGTGATCTCTGCTGCCCCCCCCACTGCTCTGCACTGCATGGGGGCTCTCTGTATGAGCCCCCCCAGAGCCCCAAGGCCACTGTAGGAACTGGTGATACCGGGGGTTTTTTTTCTTAAAGGGCCCAAGCTGGGGCAGACAGGGCAGCCATGGCGGGGGCTAGGACAGTGGGTAGGGGTTGAGGGGCTCATGGAAGAGCCCTCCATACAGTGTGGGGTAGTGGGGGGCAGCGGAGATTGCCCCCCCTTGCCTGGCAACATCCAGTGAGAGCGGGGCTAGGGGAGCGGGCGGGGGTTGGGGCCTGGCAGGGGTTCCCCCCATGGTCCTCTCTCTGCTCCTCCAGGCTCCCTTCCTCCACCCCTTACTTATCAGCTCCGGGTCCAGCTCCTGCTGCAGTGAGCAGGTACTGCCCGAATCGTGGAAGCTCTCTGAATGTTTTCCGAATTGATTCAGAGAGCTTTGAATTGATTCAGACCTTTTAATTGGTCCCTTGATTTGATTTGGATTTGAAGATTCAGCCACCAAATTGGGCCGAATTGCCTCTGAATCGAATCATCATCCAAAGCTTCGCATAGCCCTACTAGCGAGACCCTCCAAGATCCCAAAACTTTTCAGCAAAGGACATTGCTGTAAACTAAGCAGTGGGTGCTTATCTACTCATATGTATATATAGTCCTAGATTCTAAAATAGTACTATTAGTATGGCCTGATTTTGGGATTATGTTAGAGAACAAGAGGTGCTGAATGACTTGGCTCCTATAACATCTTTGGACAATCTGCATGCTCAGCTCCTTCCAGAATTGGACCCATAATGGTAATCATTACATAGCCAAGTTCTTCTGAGTTTTTGTTTGTTGTACTTTTAAATTAATATAATTAACAATTGGATCATTATTCCTTAAATGTGACTTTTCTTTGGCTTTTGTTTCTATGGTGTGTGCTAAATTTTAGGGAGTGACTCTTACAGCAGCTATAGGTGGAGCTGACATGCCTGTGGTCATCACTGTCCTGAACAGCTACTCTGGCTGGGCTTTGTGTGCAGAAGGTTTTCTTCTTGACAACAACCTGATGACAATTGTTGGTGCCTTGATTGGTTCATCTGGAGCTATCCTCTCTTACATCATGTGTGTGGTAAGATAGAAATATATGTATTAGAGCTGTTTTGTTCACTTTCTCATTAAATTAGTCTCGATCTTTGACTGTGGGAGCATTTTAAAATAGGAAAGTGTATGCAGAGGGGATGGCCTAAATGATTGGTTGCCCATTTGAATCCAGGTCAGACTAGTAGGAAATAATCAAAAGTTATAACAGTTTGACAGCTGTCCAGTGAGTTTTTAGAGTTAGGGCTTGGTATGTCAGCTCCTTAGATACAAGGAGCAACTTGGGATCTTATTTTAGTTTCTCATAATCAGAAATCATTACAGATGGTACTGACTGGCACTCTTATTGACACGGTAGCCAAATTATCCTCACTGTTACCATACCTAGAATGTAGGCTAACAGTTTCTTACATTTGTCATCTGGCTTCTAAACGTACTCTAATCACGAACTAGGAAATGCAATAAGTAGTAGTGTGGTTTGCTTGTAAGTTCAATAATGTCAGTCAGTGTTTTGAAAAGGACTGAACAGCCTACAGGAAAAATCTCACCCAATAATTGGCTTTGAGGAAACATGCTGTTCATAATGAGCAAGAGGGGAGATGTTCTTTAACCAAATACCGTTTTGTTTCCTTAGCAAAAAATGTTAAGGGAGGAGAAGAGAAGAGGAGGAGAAGAGAAATTATTAGAAAATTGCTTTAAAAAAGAAAAAAGAAAAAAGAAAAAAAAAGATTTTTTTTCAAGCACATGTATGAAAAACCATGTTCAAAATTTATGAGTTATATGCCAAGAAAGATACTGTAGCTTTCCAAAAGAAAGCAATAAAATATTGAACTATTGAACTGTTGATGTATTGGCTTCAGAGCTCTTTTAAATGCACTTTGAAGAGCTGAATAATATGCAGTTTTCTTCCCAAACTACTTGAGGATTTGCATCAAATTAATTGTTTATTTCAGAGCTTTCTGTATGGAATTGGTATGGTTATTTTTAACCAACGTGCTTATTTAACATCTTCACGTTTAGGCCATGAACAGGTCTTTGCCAAACGTCATTTTGGGTGGATATGGCACAACTTCTACAGCTGGAGGGAAACCTATGGAAATTGTTGGAACACATACTGAAATTGGAGTTGACCAAGCTATTGAAATGATAAAAGAAGCTAACTCTATCATCATTACCCCAGGTAAGAGTTCAGATATTTTTTTATAGAATTACTCAGTAATAGGCTTTTGAGGCTGATTCAGATATTGCATAATGCTCTGCTTAGTTCTTCCTTGCCAATTACTTTGATCTATCCATTATCACATCAACTTGAGACTCGCTGTCACAGTATTAAAAGTGATTAATAGCTTTGTCCTCTGTTGTTTCATTTCATGTTGACCATCCACTGTCCTTATAGTTTTTACCATTGATTAGTACTCTTCAACCATTTCTCAGCTTCCTGCTTATTCATTTCTGTGCCTTCTTCCAAACATGTTTCCAAGTTTGGGAGAAGCTTCTTCTTAAGCATACCTACAGAGTGGCCTTAAGTTACTTTTGAACATCCGATTTTGCCCTGTCACTGACAGGGAATCTAGTTGATTATATATTACCAAGACATGGCCAAGCCTCACTTTGAATCTTCTACTTACAGTCCTCTGGTTGTAGCCTTTATATTTGTCCTTAGGCCACAAATGTGGCAGAGATTATATCCTTTTGACCATTTGGAAGATGCCTAGAGGCATAAACATAGTACTGTACTATTAATATCCACTGCAACAGGATTTATTATTGAAATGAGGTAGCATTCATGAAACAGGGTTATTGTGCTAGATACTGTACAGGTAAATAAGAAAAAGGTCATCTCTGGCCTAGAACTTCAAATCTCAAAACTAGACCAGAGATGACAGGTGGATGCAGCAAATGGATAGAACAGTATTATGAAGTGTTCTGACCAAGGGAAGATGGAGTTACTATTTTCATATAAATTAAATGTATGGACTGTTGGGAAATAGAATTATTGTATGTACAGCAGTGGTGACACTTGGAGAAAACTGAGCAACTAGACATTTGGGAGTGTTTATATATCATGAAGTCTCAGAATTTGGGAATATCATAATATGCAGACAGCACAGCACCTATTTTAGAGCTCTTTTAGTTAAGAATTATTTCATACATTTTTGGGACACAAGCTTTTTGTTAATACACATTTATAAAATGCATTAGCTATCTTGTGGCTTACTATAATGAAAGCAGAAGGCAGATCTGACATATTAAGCCCACTAAACATGGCACCTGCAGATATGAGATGAGTAGGGAACAGAGATTTCCTTAGTACAACTAAAATAAAAGTTCTACCCAATGAAAACATTTGTTAAAATAGGAAAATCAAGCTAGATGGTAGCATAATTTACATCCCATGGGTCTTTAATGCTCCAGAGTGATTTGTTGTTATATTCCACAGAATTCTTTACAAAGCCATTTGGGAATGTAGCTCCATCTCAGTTGCACATCTGTGGAGAAAGGGCCAAATACAACTAGTTGTATACCATTAACACTTCACTGAATTCTGTGCATTTACTCTACATTACCTGGTCTGAAGTGAAATCAGATTAAGACCCCAAAGGAGGTCCTCATTTTATAAAATAGCAACCAGTCTAGGTTTTGTTGGACAGTCTGTCCCTTCAGCTTTAAAAATGCTGATGTGGCAGTGGGCCCTAAGGGCAGATGAAACAGGATGCCAAATGCATCAAAAACCTGAGGGAAAATTCACATACTATTCTGAATAGGAGACTACACTCCCTTGTGGAAAAGGGGCATGCAATTATTAGTTACTACACTTACTTCAATGATTGAACTTTTCCTCATTAATACATATAAGAGTAAAACAATATCTGGCTATTAATTTTCCTAAAATAAGCCCATTCCAGAAGACTTCACTAAGAACAGCAGGTCCTGGGCCATTATTTGGCAGATACTAATTCATTTAAAATATGAAACAATACCCAAAAAATTCAGTGTCAAAGTCGGAGGCATATCTTAACTCTGTAGATGTAACTGTATGTGGAAAATATTTATAGAGATCGTGAAGCGCTTGGTCTTTACACATCTCATATATCCGCAGGACACTGTCCATTGGGTTTGGACATGCCAGATCAGCATTCTGCTTTCATTACAGTAAACCACAAAATGCTTGTGTATTTTATGAATGTATGTTAACCAAAGGCTTTGGTCCCAAACATGTAGGAAAAACCCTTAACTAAAATAGTTCTTTTGCTATGGATTGCCCACATGGGTTGAACATTATCTGGACAACCGATCTACTTGGCAGTTCAGCTGGAATCTGAGGTTATGCCCTGGGCTCAGTCCTCTTCTCTGTGGATTGCAGAGGTTAGAAATATTTCACCCACCTACTATTGCAATCAAACAAACCTTGCTAATTGAACAGTTGGCTGGCTTCAGACACAGCTGCATCTGGCCCTTCTTAGCCAGATGGATAGGTCATCCTGATGAGGGGCCTCTGAGAGGAGAAGGGATAACATGGAGAAAAAGGAAACCGTCAAGGTACCCTCTACCAAACAGGTTGTTTTAAGTAACAATAGTGGTTTAAAGAATAACACAAAGTGACATTTTTGGTTCTGTTTTCCAGTCACATTTAAAAATCCAGTGTTGAATTCTCAGTCCTAGATATTTGTGGCTGGTCAAGATGTTTATATTCTTCTCCTCAGGAGATTAAAGAAATGTTTTTACGGGTCTTGGAGTCTTTATTTGGAACAGCACTGTGAATTCAGAGTGGAACGCTGCAGAGTATTAAAAACCACTTGCTTCTTTCTAATCAGGGTTTGGGGAGTTTGGTGATTTGTGTTTTCAATTTTCACTCACTTAACTGCCTGCTTTGGATTTGTTGCTGTGTAGGACCACGATATATGATGGTGGTAATTTTTTCCCTTAATAAATCATATATTTTGTGCCTAGGGAAAATCGTAACAACTGGCAGGATCTGGGCAAGATCCTGGTATGCATTTGTGCTGTGACTAGCTCAGGCTGGGAAAGAAAGGCAAAAATTGGCTAAATGCCACTTCATGACCTTCCCCTCTTCTCCTAAAGCTGCCAGCTGTTGGACAACAGCTCCCAGGGGCCATTCTGACAGCTGGGGATCTGCTGGCTTTTGGGACACCCCGTTTTATGCTCTTTAATTGCCTTTGCCCTGACTGCTTTTCCTAACACATGGGCATGCTCTTCTGGCTTTATCTCCTGGATTCACAGCTGCTTTGTACCAATAGACTGAACAGCTGAAAATCTGTCTAGTGCTTAGAGCAGGGGCTGGGAATCTCAAAGTTCAGTTCCTGTCTCATACAGTCATTTGGTGAGTGATTGTGAGCAAGTGTCTTAACCTCTCTGTGATTTTAATTTCTCCATAGGCCAAAAAAGGGTAGATCACACTTCCTTTTAAGAGGTGGCAGGAGGGTTAAGATCTGGTTCAGTTTTGGAAAATGATTGATGCCACCACAGGGTCCCACATATACTGACTCTCAAAGACATCTCATCAAATCTCCTCAGTCTGCTCATTTAAAACAATTTTTGTCTGACTGGAATGACAGCAAACTCAGCCTGGAAAATCAGGAGGCATCTCTCCTTCCTGTTCTTCATCACCAGTAAAACACGGAGCTACACTGGTATATATAGTAGGATTTGGGGAAATAGCCTAAGAGGACCAGATCTTTGACCTTGTTGCCTTGGCACCAGCTTGACATGAATCCAAAAGTTCTGCCCTGTACAGAGAGATGCTTGGGTGAGACTGACCCACTGCTGCAGCTCCTTCCTGATTCCCTTTCTGTTGTCTGGTGTATGTGGAAAGATGTGGGGAGAGAGTGCCTTCTTGTCTTGCTCTCTCAGTCTGCCATAGCAGCCCCTTGGATTGAAACCAGTTAGCAAACTGCATAGTGAGACCAGGCCACTGCAAAAATTTACAAAGGAGACAAATCCATTTTTAAACGCATTTTCCTAACCCCAACAGAAGAAAACCTCCATCTCAGATTGTGCAGTGCTATAGGATTGTGTTGCTACATGTTTGTTAATGATATTACAGAGATACAGTTGCTTCCTTATCACCCATGAATAAATTACTTCTTTTATTCAGCTCCCTTCTCATAAAATTCATTCCCATAATTGCCTTTGAATTGGAATGTCATTTTTATTCTCTTTCAGATCTTCAAATGAAAGAAGTGTTGTAGGCAGAGCTGGCTATTGTTTTTGCACTTCAGTTTACGGAGAAGCCTATATTAAGTAATATCCTTGTCTTGAGCGACCACATTAAAGTATCTGTTTGCAATTTAATTTGACCTTGGGTGGCCCATGTGACACCTCCACCAGGCAATTGAGACCTCTGTACTAAATGGGGTTCTGAATGTCATTAGTGCAGAAAAATACAGAACTGTATACTGGTTTCTGAGGATTGATGCGCTTTTTTTTTAAATAACACCGAAATGTTTTGATTGCTTAGGCTGGGGTCTTTGTGCAGCCAAGGCCCAGTATCCTATTGCTGACATGGTGAAAATGCTTAATGAACAAGGAAAGAATGCCAGGTAAGTTGCATATATTTGTCCTGATCCTCAACTGGTTGAATTGGTATAACTACTGATTTCAGAGGGGCCAGCCTTTAATTTCAGGGGTTACGCTGACTCCATTACTTCAGTGGATCTGGCCTGCTATGGGCCCTTGTACATGTTATGGGGTTTTTTTTCCATGTTGTCTCAATCTGTCTCCCTTAAAGTGACATGATGGTTATCAAAATATGCCATCACTCTGTTACAGGTGACAGGTCAAAAATCTCCAAATTGCTCCATGCACTGTTCAAAGTTAAATACAGTAAGGGGGGCACCATGTAACAATTCAAGCCTGCTGACTCTTAGTACTAAATTATAGCAGGGGTCACTAACTACACAATGTGATATGTGCAGATCAGCAACATTAATAGTTTTATTAATTGACATATTTTACATAAGTGGAATTTCAGTACTTTCATTACTGACATAATGAGTACTTTCATTACTGGCATGTATGTGACATGTACAAGTGACAGATTTTTTTTGTCCACAATGGGACAATTTTCCACAATCAACCCAAAATACATCAGAGGTGGTCTAAGTTGCCACAGTCCGGGACAGTTTGACATGACAAAACCTCATGCACATGTGCATGATGATGCCATTATGCTAGCCAAATGGTGATTTTGCATCACATTTTACCATGTGTACATGAGCAAATTGTCATGTGTACAAGTGCCCTATGTTTCTATTTAAATTGGCCAGATAGTGACTATGTAAAATTTGTGGTGTATACAACATTAAAAATGGTGGCAGAAAATCAGTAGGAAATTTGCAACATATTTCCATTATATAGGTACATAGTATATAATGTATTATTCAATATAAGAGCTCAATTTTCAAACTGGAACATCTGGGTAAGGTGCCAAACCCCTGCATTTGGGCACTGTAATAGGCTCTTAGATCCTCAAATGTGCCAATGATTGTTTTACGAATTAGTTTATCTTTGATATAGGTAAATACTAGGCTTGCGCGAAGCGTCTAGTATTCGCTTCAGATTCGGATTTAGCCGATGCAGGGAACAGTGATTTGATTTAATTATTTGAATCACTGTCCCAAATCAGGGAGGCCCATCCACCCCAGTTCAGCAATATCTGCCCTGCCCACCCCAGCTCCTGGCACTTGTTAAAAAAAAGCCCTGACTCAGTGGGTGTTGCTGCGGGGGGGGATCGCTGCTGCCCCCCCACTGCCCCATGCTGCATGGGGGGCTCTGCACAAGCCCCCCCAGCCCCACCATGGCTGCCCTGCCTGCCATGGCTCTGGCCCTTTAAGAAAACCCCCCCTGAGAAAACCCCAGACTCACCATTCCTGCCTGGCGGGGGGCAATCCCCGCTGCCCCATGCTGCATGGGGGGGCTTTTCCATGAGCCCCCAAAGCCCCAAGACTGTTGCAGGAGCAGAGTCTCCCAGGGCTTTTCTCCATTTTTTTTTTTTTTTTGCTTAAAGGGCTGGAGCCACAGCGGGCAGGGCACCCATGGGGGCTGGGGGAGTGGGAAGGCATCGGGGGGTTTGTGAAGAGCCCCCCATACAGCATTTGGTAGGGGTCCCCCCATGGTCCCCTCTCCCGCCTCTAGTACTTAGCAGCTTGGAGTTGGCTACAGCTCCCTGTTGCAGCCACCAGGGACTGCCCGAATCATCAAAGCTCTTCAAATCTTTTCCAAAGATTTGGAGAGCTTCGAATCAATTTGGACCTTTTAATTGGTCCCCTGATTTGATTTGGATTCGGAGATTCGGCCACTGAATCGAATCACCACCTGAAGCTTCGCACAGCCCTAGAAAATCCAGGATGGGAATTTTAAAAGCACTGAAGTGATTTGGGAGTATAAATTACATACGGAAAAACCCATATCTTTATCCGTATTCCTCATGGAATCATCTATGCAAGAAGTCTGATAGCAGTAAACACTGGGAGTGCATCTACATGTGCAATTAATGCAAAGGGATAAACTTCAGAGCTGTTTCAGCTGAAGTGGACTGCTCCTGGGTGCAGCGTCTACACAGGTGCCCAGGACAGCAGCACTTTGAGCTGGGGTGGAGCAGGCCCAGGCTGGCAGCAGCATCAGGAAGTCAGCTCTGGACTCTGGGTGACAGTATCAGGTGGCGGAGGGGCTGGCTGGGGCACAAGAGTGATAAACGTGCAGAGCCATGTGGCTAGGAGGCAGGCAGGAGTCTGGCCCCCTGCTGTCTGGGCTGACCGGGTGCAACTTATGTTTACACATGCGTTTCACTGCAGTCAACTCTGCCATAAGACAGTATTGTCGCTAATAGTACTATCTTATGGTGGAGTTAATTAATTAAATGTGCGCCCTAATACTGGCACACATGTAGGCAGTGACACTTTACTGCGGAGCCAGCTAGTCTACTCTGCAGTAAAGTGCATGTGTAGATGCATCCTGTATGAATATGATCCTAGCACAGAGAGAATCCAATCTTCCATAGCATTAATTTAAGAAGGTCATGAATGTTGAGTAGCTTTGGGAATTCAGGCATTCTTTTCCTTCTTCTTTGAAAAGAATATTAACTGCTGCAGTTCTTATGCCAGTTTTTTTGAAAAGTTGTTTTGTGCCCAGGAATAGCTTATTCTGAAGTGCATCTTTAGAATATACACCAGGAAGCCGTCTTTGCATTAGAAAATAGAAATAATCTTCATCCCTTTTTAAGTTTTTAAATGGTATTTTGTTGCCTGCAGATCTAATCCCATTCTTGTGCTATACATATACAGTGTGCATATGATACATGGTATTCATGAGTGATTTAGATTCTGTGGTTTGGATTATGTGTAAAATAAAATAATCCAATAACATGCCATTGACTACATAAATAACTTCTAACCAACAAGATGCTGATTCTTCAAGGTGTTGCAGTCCATCTTTTTTCTCACTCTCAAATACTGATTACAGGAATATACTTTAGATGTTCTTTCCCAATTTGCAGTTCCATTACCAGTATTCTTTAGCTCCTTCTCTACATCTGGTTCAGGTATATGAGTATTGGAACCAGACAGCTTCCCCATGCTTAGTGTTGCTGACATTCATCACTCGGTATTTATTAGTCCAGCATGACTTGGATGCAAAAGCTGTCATTCCTTGCTTTCTTGGTTTCTAGGTTTGGCATCCATCCTGTAGCAGGCCGGATGCCAGGACAGCTGAATGTGCTGCTGGCAGAAGCTGGTGTACCTTATGATGTTGTATTAGAAATGGATGAGATCAATGAAGATTTTCCAGGTAAGGGATGAATCAGTAATAGCTTGTTGTAGATTTAAATCATTCTAAATATTGTAGTTTAATTTTCCATTTTTAATTAGGCCAAATAACACTCATTTTGGCCCAAATGGCAGTTTGGTAGGTAATGATTTATGGTGATGCTTTTTGAAGACCAGTATTAAGACTAGAAAAGGCTAAACATTTGTCTGACTGATATAAAAGACTTAGTATATTTCTGACATTCATGCATAATAATATAGCAAGTAATATTTTGCCACAGTCTGCACAAAATACATTTTCACCAAATTAACACCCGTATTCTGTCAGTGATAATGGTATAAAGAAAGGCAACTATACTATTTTGAATATTGGAAAAACACATATTCTGATATTTAAAGCTCCCATTTTACCATTGACATTAATGAGAGGAGAGATCGGGCAAGGTTGTATGTTTGAAGACCCCATCATTAGTTATGTTTCTGTATATGGAGTACTGTATTGTTATAGGTTACCAACTCTTCTTGCCTCAGTCATTTTTTAATTTATAGTTTTATAAGGCCATTATAGCATTTTTGATTTTCTGATACACTACAGTGATTAGGAATAATCAGATGCCTTCTCTCTTCCCCCAACCCCAGGCATATAGAAAAAGAATGGGCTATGAATAGTATAATTACTTATATTCTCTATTAGTGTGGTATTAATATTTTTTATTCCTGTTGATATTGTTGAAAGTGCAATTTTAGTGAAGATGCAGCAATCCTACAAGATTAATAGGACAGCAGTGTAAAAAAAAAGGGAGGGAGAACAACTTCTGAAGTTAAAGATCAAAGTTAGCACAAAACCAAATGAGTATAATTTGCAACAAGGGAAATTCAAGTTGGACATTTGAAATAACTTTTTCACTCTCAAGGGCTAAGTACAGACAGTCAAAAAGCCTGAGGCTGAATCGATTCAGTCTTTGCTGGTTAGTCTAAACTGGACAGATTAAATTGAAATGGAAGTGAACAGACATTTACCTTTGATTCAGGAAATGCAGCCACATGCCCGCAGTGGCTCAGGCCAGAAGCTGGGGACACTAAAGCACAGCTCTCTGGCTGTGTGTTCACTTCTTCTTTCTGCTGCCCATGAGGTCCCTGCGATTTGCAGTCCAGAATCAGAGCAGAAGGACTCTGCAGTCGCTCATCATCACTTCCTATTCCTGCTTTCAGGTGCCTCTGGGATTTGTAGTTCACAGTTGCAGCCAGCAGTAAGTTTCATAGTTTCATAGTTTCATAGTTTCAGGGTCGGAAGGGACCTAATAGATCTTCTAGCCCGACCCCCCGCCAGGGCGGGAGAACAACCCAAAAACACAAACAAAACCACTCACCCTAAAAACAAAAACGGGACTCAAATGAGTCCAGCCAGGTAAGTATCCAGCCTCTTCTTAAAGATCCCCAGGGTAGGGGCCAGCACCACCTCCCTTGGAAGTTGGTTCCAGCTCCTAGCCGCCCTGACTGTGAAGTAGTTTTTTCGGATGTCCAATCTGTACCTCCTCTCCATCAACTTGTGCCCATTATTCCTTGTTATGCCAGCAGGGGCTAGGGGAAACAGCGTCTCCCCCAAACCCTTCTGGTTCCCCCTAGTGAGTTTATAGACGGTCACCAGGTCCCCCCTCAGCCTTCTCTTGTGGAGGCTGAATAGGTTCAAGTCCCGCAGTCTCTCACTGTAGGGTCTGCCCTGTTGTCCCCGGATCATGCGGGTGGCCCTCCTCTGGACCCTCTCCATGTTGTCCACATCCCTCCTGAAATGGGGCGCACAGAACTGGACACAATACTCCAGCTGCGGCCTGACCAGCGTCGCATAGAGGGGGAGGATCACCTCCCTGGCTCTACTCGAGATGCACCTGTGGATGCACGACAAGGTCCGGTTAGCCCTGCCAACCATGACCTCGCATTGTCGGCCCATGTTCATCTTGGAGTCAATAATGACACCAAGATCCCTTTCCGCCTCCGTGCTCTCAAGTAGGGAGCTCCCCATCGTATAAGTGTGCTGCTGGTTCCTACTACCCGAGTGCAGCACCCTGCACTTGTCCGTATTGAAACGCATCCTGTTCCTGTCTGCCCACCCCTGTAACCTATCCAGATCCTTCTGCAATCTCTCTCTCCCTGCTAGCGTGCTCACCTCCCCCCAAATTTTGGTGTCATCAGCGAATTTAAACAGGTTGCTCTCCACCCCAACATCAAGATCGCTGATGAAGACATTGAACAGCGCAGGGCCCAGGACCGAGCCCTGAGGGACTCCACTACCCACCTCCCCCCAAGTCGAATATGATCCATCCACCACCACCCTCTGAGTGCGACCCTTCAGCCAATCTGCAATCCATCTGACCGTGTAGGCATCTATGCCACAGTCGCCTAGTTTACTAATTAGGATGGGGTGAACAGGGGGTTTGAACAGGGGAAGGGGTGTTTAACCCCCCTCCCCAGCCCCAGACCCCAGGGTTTACCTGTGGGGGTCAGTCCCCCCCCATAGACTGGGCTCCATCTCCATCTGGGCTTGCACCCCCCCCTTGTCAGAGAGCCCTCACTGTTCCAGTTAGGAAGCAGAGGGGTGGGGCCAGCCCTGCTCTCTGGAGCAGATAGCAGAGTTCAGCTCAGCCCAGGGCTGAAAAGCATGCTGGGATGCTAGGGGACTCTGATTTAACTTGAACCAGGAAGGGACCATAAACTGGTTTGACCCAAATCAGTTAAGTCTGATAAACCTGGTTGAATGTAGTATCTCAAACTGGTTTCAACCATTTTCAAACTGGTTTTATGTGCACTTAACATCTGTTCTGTGACAGGTTTAAACCAGTTTCTGATCACTTAAACTGGTTTATATGTAACTTCTGTTCCTAGTCAAAGTGGTTAAGCCCTGGAATAGGCTGCCAAGAGAGGCTATAGAATTGCCATCATTGGAAGTTTTTAAGAGCAAATTAGACGAATGCTTGGCTGGGATGGCTTAATCGAGGGTGATCTTGTTTTGAGCAGGAGGCTTGATTAGATGACCTCATGAGGTCTCTTCCAGCTCTACCTTTCTATGAGTCTATTAACTGGTGACAAATAAATTTAGGTTGGAAATTAGAAATAGTTTTCTGATGAAGAGGAGGTGGTCCTGAAGCAGTCTTCTAGTAGAAATAGTGGAAGTCAAACACTTAAATTTTTAATCTGGAACCTGATATTGTCATGCAAGGGATTACATGTTTTGATTGCCTTGAACAGCAGGCAAGTAGACTCAATGATCAGGGATGTCCCTACCAGTTCTTTGTTCAAGGAAACTTTCTTTGAGCTCACTGAAGCTTGGGGCAGGGAGATGTAAAATTGTAGCGCTAGGCCATTAAATCCTAGGCCAGGGAGGATTCATTATGTGGGAGGGCTCTAGTAAGTTTTTCTACTTACTTTGCTCCATGCTATTGCCAACAACGTTTTTTTTTTGTTTCCTCAGTGTTAAAGAAGGAGTAGAGATTCCACTGCCAGCTAGAGAAAGTGGTGTTTGATGGCTCTGACTTGCCCATATGGTAGTGTTTTGTGGCCATGCAGTGGATTCATAGATCACAGTGTTGAGCAAGCTCATTCCTCTGTGTGTCTTTACAAGAAAGCAAACTGACGTCACATCCATGAATTAGCTGCTTAACCTTGCCAGAATGCTGCTCTAGTACAGCTCCACAGTAAAACAATGCTAGACATTTTTAAAGACATCTGTGACAGGAGGCAGCAAGTGGAGTTCAAAAGGAAGAGATGAAAGGAAGGGAAAGAATATTTTCAGAGTGAGATCCGTGTGTTGCTCAGAAATAAGTGGGGGAGGGGGGAGCTCTGACTCCCTCTTGGAATTCTGGTGGTCATGGAAGCCACCTGCTTGCAACTTCCTGCAGCAGTTATTCACCCCAGGTTCCAACTTCTTTCTGGCAGAATGAAACAAAACAATGATACATTTCATTGCAGATAATCTGTGCTGTGATTAATTGATGTCAAAATGTGACAACTACCACTGATGCTGTAGTCAGCCTCTCATGTGTTTCAGCTGCCCCAGGCCATTTGCATACAAAGGTGAATGGTAAGGGTGATGGTTAGACAATACTTTATTGGTTATTTGGACATCAGATGGACATGATTTCACTCCAGGCCATCAGCAGAATAGCAACTATACTATTCTGAAGTACTGTATAGGTAGTCAGGGAGTTAAACACCCTATGGACCTAACCAGCCAGCAATGAATTGTAGGAGTAGTCTTAGCAGCACAAAATCAGACATAGCTTTTGAACAGTTATTCTTTTGAAGAATTCCTTGAATTCCAATTATAGCCAGTACAACAAGGTTAATTGCAAAGACATTACCGTCTTCAGAATTTAATTATTGTTAGTAATTTTAGCCTGCTGTTTAGTAAGCAGCTATACTTTTATAATTAACAGTCATCCTAAGTAGTATTTAATTAAATACGTCTTTAGAGGCCCAGTTCCCCCAAACTCAGTCTGGCTTCTGTGTTTTACAACTCCTTAATGCGCATGTCACATTTTTCCTAAGTTAGTGCTTCAGTAAATAATACCAGTGCTCTCAACCAGAAGACTAGGTTCTGATCTGGTTTATACTAGTGATAAATCCAGAAAAAAATCTTTTGTCATCAGAACTCAGTATTCTGGATTGCACCATGAAATCATAAGCAGAATACATCTTAAGGTTTTCCAGAAATTATTTGCTAATCAAGGTCTGGACTGTGTCGTCCTAACCCATACTGTGGAATCATTTGAATTCCTTGCAGTCAGTGTTAGACCCTGATCCTACAATGGACTGCATATGGGCAGAAGACAGTTTACCGGCAGAGCCTGGGACTGATGTGTTATAGACGATGCAGAACTGGGTCTTGGTGAATGGTGTTGAAATAAAATACATGTTAAAGTACAATGGAAGTACTTCTTGAATTCCACACATGTACTCTATTTGGAGACCTCACAGGAGGCTTGCATAAGACTCGTCCTGCTAAACCTTAGGAGTATTTACTCGCATGGTATCTTATGCAGAGAATGCACAGAAAGATTGTAATAGTTTTCATTAACACAAGTATCTGCCAAGATTTGATTTTGGGTTTGACAAACAGATGGGCCTTGTTTTTTTCATTTAGATGAAACAACAAACTGTTCATCATTTAATGTACAATTGATTAATGTGTTTTGGTCCTGCCATGATAAAAGAAAGGCAGCTTCTTCAAGTGATAAATCATACATCTTGTAATCTGTTTTTTTGTGCCTCAGAAACAGACTTGGCTCTGGTCATTGGTGCAAATGACACGGTGAACTCTGCAGCCCAGGAGGATCCCAATTCTATTATTGCCGGCATGCCAGTCTTAGAGGTCTGGAAAGCTAAGCAGGTACATGAAGACAAATAAACTAACTTAATTCTCTATAATACTAGTATATGTTTATGGGATATTTCTTGGTCTGTCAGAAAAAATGCCATCAGGCACTAAAGACAAGTATGACTTTTTTTTATGGAATACCTGTCAAGTAGAAGGTACACCTCTGTAACTGCTAGTACTCATACAAGAAAGGCTCAGCTCTGCAGCCTGCTGGAATAGGAAATTCACAGCGCTTTCCATAGAACTGTCCGTAGAACAAGCAGCTGTTTGTAAATGCTGACTTCACTGGGGTGCCCTGTCCCACTCTTAACTAAAACTGATCAGATTTTTCTTGGTGATTCTAACAGGTAGAGAATTGGTTCACAGCTTATAAAATACGTAAATGCCATTTTATGTTTCATGGATTTTACTTTTTAAAATATAGAATCATGGTTATAACTTCACTCTGGCACTACCAGTACCTGTCCCTCTGCTGGTGTTCCAAAGCTTACTGCAGAACTGTACTCCCACAAGGCTGCACATTTATCTTTGAACACATGATTCAAGTTAAACAAGTTTTTTGCAGTGTTTAATAGCTTTAATTTTAAGTGGCAGTGAAATGTTGGCTCTGTCTGTATCAGAATCTTGTGTATGTTTGTGAACTAAGTGCTTTTCATTTTTGGCTGATTGTCATTATGGCCAGGAACAGACATTACACTTTTACTGGTATAAGTGGTTGCTAGACCTGTAAAAGAACAGAAGTTTGGCACACAAAACCAGTCTATGCCCAGAACAGAAGTTCAACACACACAGGCTGGTTTAAAAATGGCAGAACCCAGTCTAAGATTTGTCACCCCCCTCCCACCAAAGGGTGAAAATGTGTTCTGTTTGCTACAAATCTAAACCATGCTGCTTACAGAAAACCATGCAACTTAGATGGATTCTGCCTTGGGCTTTTTGAATGTCTAAATGTATACTTTCCTTTCAGTGTGTTCCTAATTGCCATTGGTAATGCCATGTTATGGCAAAAGATGTATATGGCCTGAACAAGAGGAGTCACATATATATTCTTCCCTGTTTGTCACTTCCGTGCTCACAAACAAGGAAGAATTGATGGGTAATGTAGTGGCGGATGGCAACTTGGGCAGCAGTGACCATAAGATGACTGAGTTCAGGATCCTAAGGAAAGGAAGGAGAGCAGCAGAGTAGGGACTTTGGATTTCAGAAAAGCAGACTTTGACTCCCTCAAGGAAATCATGGGCAGGATCCCCTGGGAAGCCAGACTGAGGGGGAGAGGAGTCCAGGAATACTGGATGTACTTGAAGCCTTACTGACAGTGCAAAACTAAACCATCTCAATGCGCAGGAAGACTAGTAAGTATGGCAGAAGACCAGCTTGGCTTAGCAGGGAACTCTTCAGTAAGCTAAATCACAAAAAGGAAGCTTATAAGAAGTAGAAACTTGGACAAACAATTAGGGAGGAGCATAAGGGTATTGCTCAGGCATGCAGGGATGAAGTCAGGAAGGCCAAAGCATAATTGGAGTTGCAGCTAGCAAGGGATGTAAAGGGTAACAAGAAGGGTTTCTATAAGTATGTTACTAACAAGAAGAGGATCTGGGAAAGTGTGGGTCCCTTACTGAATGGGGGAAGCAACCTAGTGACAGACGATGCAAAAAAGGCAGAAGTGGTCAATGTCTTTTTCATTTCAGTCTTCACAGGCAAGGTCAGCTCCCAGACTACTGCATTGGGCATTACAGTTTGGGGAGGAGGTGAGCAGCCAACTGTGGTGGAAAAAAAAAGTTGGGGACTATTTAGAAAAGCTGGACATATGCAAGTCCATAGGGCTGGACAGGATGCACCCAAGGGTGCTGAGGGAGTTGGCCAATGTGATTGCAGAGTCACTGGTCATTGTATTTGAAAACTCATAGTGATTGGGAGAGGTCCCATACATGTGGAAAAAAGCAAATATATTTAGGAAAGGGAAAAAGGAGGATCCAGGGAACTACAGACTAGTCAGCCTCACCTCAGTCCCTGGAACGATCATGAAGCAGGTCCCCAAGAAATCTATTTCTAAGCACTTGGAGAAGAAGGTGATTGGTAACAGTCAGCATTAGGGCTGTGCAAAACAGCACCATTTTGTTTCGACTTCTGTTTAGCCGTTTTGAAGGGACGGTGCTTCGTTTAATCATTTAGTTTCATTTCGTTTGAAAGCACTGTTCCGTTTTGTTTCTTCAAAACTGTTTTGCTGTTTTGATGCGTTTCAACATTTCGCCCATAGGCTATAATCATGAAAATGCCTAAAACTTTGTCATTTCTTGCCTGATATGGATGAACCTTGCAGGGATGGTAGCCCCTTCTGAGGGCATGAAGCCTGCCACATTTCAAGGGGATAGGTGCAGAGGGTTCTCAGAAATTACACCTCAAACTGTTCAAAGCAAAACTCCTGACACTTAACAGGAGCTCCAGCCTCCTCTCATCTGGCACGCAGATCTGGGGGTTCGCACCCCTGGGTGGGCTATGGGGCTGTGCCAGAATTCTCCTGGGGGTATGAGCCCCTGGGTTTGTGTGCCAGATGAGAAGAGGCTGCCTCTGCCTCCTGGGACCGGCAGCAACATTAATCTTCCTCAGTGGCAGCTTCCTTTCATCTGGTGTGCAGATCCAGGGGCCTGCACCCCGAGGAGGAGTCCAACACAGCCCCGCAGCCCTCCTGCAGGTGCAGGCCACAGATCTGTGCGCCAGATGAGAGGAGGCTGCCACTGCTGCCTGAGACCAGTGCTGAAGCCAAGTAAGCCCGACTTTGAAACTCAGAACGTTTCAAAACTTGCAAAACATTTTGAGTGCCCTCATTTCATTTCAAAGCTGTTTTGAAGCCTTTTGTTTCATTTCGATTTCACTGTTTCGAGTTTGAAACATGTTGAAACAGCTTCGAAACAAAACACACGGCGAAATTTTACACAGCCCTAGTCAGCATGGGTTCACCAAGGGCAAGTCATGCGTGACCAACCTGATTGCCTTCTATGATGAGATGACTGGCTGTACAGATGCAGGGAGACCAACGAATGTAGTACACCTTGATTTTAGCAACAGGGATATAGGTTGTAGTCATGCTGGTCTAAGGACATAGGCAGACAAGGTTCTTTGGGTAAATCTGATATCTTTTATTAGACCAACTCAAAGAGTTGGAAAAATTCTTCTTTGCAAGCTTTTGGGTACAAATACCCTTCATCAGGCCGAGGAAGCATCTGCAGTTGGTGTGTGCTCTTCCTGGGTGGAATGAATAGTAAAGAAGCCAGAGGCTGTTATGCATGCAAGAAAACCAGTCAGTGCAGATGTAAATTGAGGAGTCAGTCAGTGAGAGACAGGTTTGAGCAACGGGGAGGGGAATGAATGTAGCTGGTAAATAGCGGAAAGGTACCTGGGGAATCAGATGATAGGCAGATTATAATAGGTGGATTTATGACACATTATAACCTGCCTAACATCTGACTCCCCTGGTACATCTCCACTGTTTACCACCTACATTTATTCCCCTCCCTATCCCTTCCCCCGCAACCTGTCTCGCACCCACTGACTCCTCAGTTTATATCTTTACTGACTGGCTTTCTCGCATACATACCAGCCTCTGGCTTCTTTACTATTCATTCCACCCAGGAACAGCGCACACACCATCTGTAGAGCTTCCTCAGCCTGACAAATGGTATTTGTACCCAGAAGCTTGCAAAGAAGAATTTTTCCAACTATTTGAGTTGGTTTAATAAAAGATTTCAGATTTACCCAAATTACCTTGCCTGCCTATTGACTTTAGCAAGGCTTTTAATACTGTCTCCCACAACTTTCTTACAGGCAAGTTAAGGATGTACAGTTTGGATGAATGGACTGTAAGGTGGATAAAAACTGGCTGGATCATTAGGCTCAGAGGATAGTAATCAATGGCATGATGTCTAGTTGGCAGCCAGTATCAAGTGGAGTTGCTCCAGGGGTCAGTCCTGGGGACGTTTTTGTTCAATATCTTCATCAGCAACCTGGAAGATGGCATACTGTGCATCCTCAGCAAGTTTGCAGATGACACCAAGCTGGGGGCAGGTCCCTTCCAACCCTAATTTTCTTTGATTCTATAAGCAGCCAGTGTGACGCACATGAAACCTTCTGTGCAGTTGCCACAAGCAGTGCTGTCAAGGGAATCTGTGTGGGTCAAAGCACTTGTCCATTTAGGCAGCCTTTCACCCTTTCACGCTACTTTATTGTACCAAAAGGCTGCTTGAAAGAGGTGCATGGCTTACCTTTTTCAGTGGGCTGTATATACAGCCATGCACTGAAAGTTTCTTAAATGAAAAAAGCAGGATTGAAGCAGGAAAAGGACAGAGAATCTTCAAAAGTATTTGCAGGACAGTCATTCTGGTAAATCCCCAAAAGTAGAGGATTAAACCACTTTACCAGATCAAAGTCCATATCTAGCAAGAGAACTCTAGGCAACTTAACTATGTCTATGTTAGGATTTTTGCCGGTATATCAGTTATGGATGTGATTTTAGTACACCCCTAATTGATATAGCTTATGGAAAATCCTGCGGAGAGAGAGAGGAACAAGACTGAGGTGCCTATGTACCACTAAGACCTTAAGGCGTGATATACTGGCTATGTACTACTTGACCCTGTTGAAGGAAAAGAAGATTTGTCTGTGTGTTTAAATACAGTACCTCATTCTGCAGTGCTGATTTCTTTTCCAGAGAAAACCGCAAGTTGAGGTGGGTGACATTTTTCAGTTGTATGTATTCACTAAAACAGGCATATTTATGTTGACCAAAACTATTTATGAATTCATGCCAAATTCAGCAAAAGTTTGATCAAGAAAAAAAAGGAAAATATTTTGAAAAGTCAAAACATTTGGTTGATTATTGTTATGCAGGACCAACATTTAAGGACTAATACCTTTAGTATTTAAAGGTTTAATACCTTTAAAGGTATTTAAGGTATTTAAGGTTTAATACCTAAACTTAATTTAATTAAAAAACCTCAAGCCCAAGAATGAAATTAAACTTTTTTGTTTGATCCACAAAGCAATATTTTTTTGGTCTGGCAAGAAAGCTGAAAAACTTTTTTTTAAAAGTTCTGCCAGATAACTGAAAATTCAGTTGTTCATACAGTTGTACCTGAAAGGCTCCTAACTTGCCTAATATCACTCTCCAGAGTAAATGGTACAGGTTTCAGCAAATACTGTAGTAAAGGAAATACTTCAGACTTCAAGGTAGAATTTAGGGTGTGTAAAGATGCCAGCAAATGTCTGATAGGTACATCCACAATAAAAAGTACTAATTTTACAATTCTACTTTTAATCCACTGGATAAGTATAACCAATTCCATGTGTAAATCACCTAGCGTAGGTACAGTAAAATCCAAATTCTCATGTTCTCAAAAGTTCTAAAGCTCTTGAAGCCATAAAACGGGTACATACGTAGATATGAACTGATGTGGACATATAACTAGAGATGATATAAAAACTATGTAATGTTGAGGGGGGGGGAGGTGTGAAGATGTCACCAAGTGTGAGGCAAGCAGATGGTCTGAATTACAAACAACTTCTGAAACAGCAAAATGTGGAGCCTGACTTGGGGGAACATCAGGATCTCCATGTTACTTTGAGTTAATAATATTGTGCATCATATGCACAGAATGTGTTCCCACAGAGTAAAGCTCTTGTTCTGACCTTGATTGCCATGGTAGGAATATACTGTAAAACTAAGCATTGCCCGTTCAGTAGTCAGTTTCATAAGATATGTGACATTGTTTGTATGCAGTAATGCTAAGATGAAGCAAATAAATGAGGAATTTTTAAATTATTGGAATATGCACTCTGAAGGAAAATGTTCTAAAAGTCTGTCTGTATAATGCTTCACTGTTGGTGGGTTTAGTTAGATAAGTTACAGGAAATATATGTTTAACTTTGTATATTTTACATTCACAAAAATACATACCATGCATCTGGTGCTAGACTTTACTTTTATCATAAAATAAGACAGTTTATCAAATATTGCATTATATCACACGCAGCATGGATTATAATTTAATGAGGTTGCAGTGATTTTTCAGTTTGTGCTAGGATCATTTCAGATTTCAAAAGACAAATAAAATTGGCCTGATCAGTATTTGGATAGATTTTTAAGGGAAGTGGATTACATGGTGTAATTCAGTAGGTAGTCCTCTTTCAAACTAAATCCAATTCTGGGCTCCACAATTGAAAAAGGATGTGGAGAAGCTTGAGAGAGTCCAGAGGAGAGCCATGCACATGATCAGAGGGCAGGAGAATAGGCCTTATGAAGAGAGGATGAGAGCCATGGGACTTCTCAGCCTGGAAAAGCGCAGGCTCAGGGGAGACCTAGTGGCTGCCTATAAGTATATAAGGGGTGTACATCAGGATCTGGGGGAATGCCTGTTCACCAGAGCGCCCCAAGGGATGACAAGGTCAAACGGTCACAAACTCCTCCAAGACCGTTTCAGGCTGCACATAAGGAAGAATTTCTTTAATGTCCAAGCCCCCAAGGTCTGGAACAGACTGCTGCCAGAGGTGGTGCAAGCACCTGCTCTGGACTCCTTGAAGACACATTTGGATGTTTCTCTTGCTGGGATCCTTTGACCCCAGCTAACTTCCTGCCCCTGGGGCAGAGGGCTGGACTCGATGATCTTCCAAGGTTCCTTCTAGCCCTAAAGTCTATGAAATCTATGAAACCAATCTAATGAATCTGTGATGCATTGTGATGCTGATGACACTGCTTGAGCTATTCACAGTTGACTAGGTGATATAATGACACAATTCCCATTCCTTTTAATAGGAGATGCATGACTAAATCCTTTGTCAACTTTGAAAAATCTAACCTATGGCTTTTGACAATTACATGAAACTGAGGTCTGAGCCTAAATATATTCATTAACACACCCATGAGCAATTTTCTGTTGTACACTTATTAGTACAGCCAACTCTTCAACACTTCACTTTTTAGATGTTCACATGTATTTCCATGTGCTTTTAAGAAGCTGCTGCTGTCTATCAAGAAGACAGATGACATTTTAAATCAATTTTCATGACAGTTTACATGTTTAAACAATGTGATTTTTCAGAATAGAAGGTGGTACACACATGTAAAGTGATTTATGTTGGGTACGTGCAGTACAGATTTTTATAGTATGTATAATGTTTTGCTTTTAAAAATGCTTTAACTATATTCTTTATAACTACATTAAGTTTTTTTTCTTTCGTACTATTTTTTTCAGGTTATTGTCATGAAGCGTACACTGGGAGTTGGGTATGCAGCTGTGGATAACCCTATTTTTTACAAACCTAACACTTCAATGTTGCTTGGAGATGCAAAGAAAACATGTGATGCTTTGCAAGGCAAGATTAGGGAAATGTATTATACTCATTAACAATGTTATTTAGAGTTGTAAAAAGGAACAAAATATCATTTGTATTTTTCAGTACAGTTTGGAGGCGCATCCAGCACCTTATTTATATAGAACCATTTAAAAAATAAAAGGGCATCCAAACTTAACAAATTAGCTGGTAGACTGACTGCTGGTTTGTGTGCCTTAGCAGACACAAATGTATGTCTTTACATGTAATAAAAAACATTTTTGCTCTATACCCACTGCAAATTATTTCTCCCATATTGCAATCCCAGACACAGCACTTCAATTGCTATGGCTTCCTTTTAGATTTAAAGCAAGAGAAACAATAGTGGAAAACCTTTGGTTTGTCCTGCTGCTATAATAAGAAGATCATGTGGTGCAAACCTATTATCTGTAATTGCATAAACGTTAGGATTTAGATATTTATGTCCAAAATGATGTTATATATAGGAATTATATAGTGGTGGCAGTTGCAGAAAGCAGCACTCAGAATATGAAACTGGTAATCAAACAATAGATTTCTAGGAAGTAAAAGAACTGCTCTCTGTGAAAATTAATTCATCAAGGACAAGCATAGATGCATTATTATACACCTATTATATACAGGCAGTGGAAATCAGATTTAGATGCCTTCAAAATGTGCATAAAATACCTATAATTTTGACAGATGTTTTCCAAGAAAACCATTATCTTGCAAGATGCTGTTTTATAAAGTAAAAAAGCAGATACAATGGAAATTTATATCAGGCGCCTCTTAGAAATATGTGACTAAGATCATCAGGCCAACACACCGTTTTCTTTCAACCTACACACTTTTCCTTTTGTTCTTTTCTTGACTAGCTATCTATCCAGCTCTAGTACCACCAAGGGTCTAATGTTAATCTTCAAAGCCTTCCGTGTATTTTTGTCTGGCTTCTTTAGGTCCACTGGCAGACGTTACCATTAAGATGTGATTAATCTGCTGAATCACACCATAAATAGTAATGCTGCCATATGTTAAAGGAATTAATGGTGCTACAAAATGGGAAGCCAGCCACGAAGATATGTAACGTTTTTGTAGCTGGCTTCCATCATGCCTTAAAACAACTGTGGCCAGGTAACCTGAGCTGTGGCAAGGCTCCAGAGCAGTCCCAGGGCTGGGACTGTGTCAGCTGTGTCCCAGACCCCTGATCTCTCCCTGAACTGGCAAATAGTAACGGTGCTCTTGACATCTGATCCCTGATCCCAAAATCACACATCCTGCCACCAGTCTTTCTCTAATATTTACTTCTGTAGCTGTAACAGTCTGTCACAACTGAGCCCAAAAGAAAATTTTTTGTGGCTTGGAATTTTCCTTTGCAGACTTCTGACCGTGACATTCCCTCCTACCCAAGACCAGGGACAGAGGATCCACATAGAGATGCAGATGCATTTTTAAAAGAAGGAAAATGCAACATGAGATCTATGGTGAAGCTGCAAACAGAACCCAGCTGTATTGGTATGAAATGCCTGCTCTGTCCAGTAGCCTATGATGAGGTATGAACCTATATTTAAGGTTCAACAAGGATAGGTGCAAAGTTCTGCACTTACGACAGAAGAATCCCATGCACCGCTACAGGCTCCAACCAACTGGCTAAGCAGCTCTGCAGAAAAGTACCTGGGGGTTCAGTGGACAATAAGTTGGATACGAGTCAGCAGTGTGCCCTTGTTGCCATGAAGGCTAACAACATAGTGGGCTGCTTTAGTAGGAGTGTTGCCAGTAGGGCTGTGTGAAGCTTCGGTAGCCAATTTGATTCAGAGGAGATTCAGCCCTATTCAGCAGTCGAATCTCTGAATCTGAATTGAATCAGGAGACCCATTAAAAGGTCTGAAGTGATTCAGAAGCCTCTGAATTGATTTGGAGATTTGGGCATACACTATACAGGCAGAAGTCCTCCACGATGCTGGACACAACTGCCTCCAGCTGGTAACTGTTGTGGAGGGAGGAGGGAAGGGGTGCAGGAGGAGCAGATCAATGCCCCTATACCAAGGGAGGGATTGGGGCTGGGACAAGCTGCCCAGTCAGGGCAGGGGAGTACAGGATTCAGGGAGGGGAGCTCTGGCCACTGTGCGCTGCCACACACCACTGGTCTGGCAGCTGCTCTTCTGGTGGCTCCTCTGGCAGTTCTCACACAGGAGCAGGTGTGCCACCAGATCTGCACGGGGTGGGCTGGACTGGGTTGCACTCTGGGAGGCTAGCCCCAGCTCCTGGGCCACACTCTATGGGGTGGGTGGAGCCAGGGCTGTGCTCTGGGCAGCTAGTCCCAGCTGCAGCCCGGAGCGCAGCCCTGGCTCCGCCTGTTCCGCAGAGCGCAATGGAGTGGGAGCTATGAGGGGGCTGCAGCCACCCTAAAATTCCCCATAGTTCCTACTGCTGGCTCCACCGATCCATGTGTACATGTCCGCTCCCATGCCCTGCTGCAGCTTGTCCGGGAGGTGCGAGAAGGCTGGGCAAGCAGCGGGAGAGTTATGACTATGGTTTTTTTAAAGTTTTAAGTCATTTTAATTTTTGCAAGATTTGACTTCTTCCTCAGGTCCCTCTTTCAAATACACTAAGTCTGAAGTCTGAAATTAAATGTGTCAGGCTTTGCAACAAGTAAAATACTTGTTAAAAGTTGCAACATGTTTCCTATAAACAGTTACTTAAGTTTTAAAAAGTTAGAAATGTTGACATTCAAAAGATTAAGTGTTACCAAGCAAGGTCAAAGTTGTTACTGATGTCAAAATATGACCCCCGTGTAGGAGTTGCTATTGCCACACTGTTTCTGAAGACAAATTATAATAGTTTAGGAGGTATGCTGACATATTGATTTAGCTCTGCTCACGCTAAGACTTACTCCTACTCTCATTTCAGTAGATCAGCACATATTACCATCACATACTTTATTCAGTTGGAAAGTTATTCTGTTGTAACATTGCTGAGGTCACCAGTAAGGTTTTGCGTGACAAAACAAGTTGGATGCATTTTGGAATGTGTTGAGACATGGAAGTCTATGCCTCTTGGGGGGTAACATTATTATAAGTGATGTAAAGTTGGCAAGAAATGTTTTTCCCTTAACAACTTCTACGCTTTCTAAGTTTTGAGCCGTCTTGATATAATCTTACCTTAAACTAAGCGATGATTTTTAGCACATTCATGATGGCTACATGCTTTTTAATGTGTTCACACAAAACTAGTCTAAAGACAGAAGCTTACATTTGAAGTGGGAAAAGAAGTGTTGATAGAGCAGTACGTTCTACTGAACTTGATACTCTAGTAACATTGCATTAGCTATATAACATTATTAAGGATTCCGAAAGCTTAGTATGTATGCATCTAAATGGAACAGGGGGTATCAAAAAAAGCTTGGATCGACTAGGCATAGAAATGTGTTTCAGGGTTTTCCTAGAGATTTCAATTTTTCCTCTCTCTCTTGCTCCAACGTAGTAGGTCATCTTCAGTCTGCATTTTTTCCTGCATCCTTAGCTTGGCAAGTCTTGTGCTATCCTCCAGGAAAATGGGTAACCTGTTATAATCTTGTACCCACTTTCAGCAGGGGACTTCATTTCTCCACTGAACAAATTTGTGCAACTGCAAGAAGTTTATACTTTTTTTTCTTGTTTGACCAGGAGTGTAAATACCCAATAAACTATCAGAAAAGGAAAAAAATCTCTTGCCATAGTGGCAATCTATGAATAGACCAGAACAGTACAGGTCAGATGACTTGTAAGTAGTACTGATCTCTCACATGAGGTTATTTTTTGTCTTGGGGTAGTAAAGTTTCTTAGACTCAGCGCTGCTGCAGGAGCTCAAATGGCAGTTTTGGGGAAAAAATAGTGGGGGGGGGAGCACTTCTTTCTGCTCCTCCTTCACCCCTCTATGGCCTTTTAGGTTACATCTAATCAACAAAGAAGCTTGCGTCTTTCCCTTGTCCATCCACTCATACAATGGGACAGGATGCTCTTTTTGGAAAACCATAGACAGTGAAAACCTCATTCCAATTTTATTAAAAAGAGCCAGCATTGACTTTTTCTCTGCCCTGACCTTCACTTTGATAAGTAGGGAAATTGATGTTGTACTTGAAAAGGATTAACTGCTTGCTTGCTTTCATTTGGCAGTAGAGTTTTAATTTGGGAAAGTGTTGTTTGGTTTAAAAGCTGAAAAACAAATCCCAGCTGGTTTTGGTACTTTAGCGGCATCAAAATTGAACAATGGGGCTGATTTCTTCCCCTCACTCCCCAAAACATCTGTCCAAGTTTTAGCCACAATGGACTTGCAGTAGTGGTGACATTAATCTCCTTCCTGCCCCCACTTTATGTTATTGCAGGAATGTCAGCATACCCTTAAGTACTGTGGACTGCAGGTGAGCCTCAGATAGGAGTGATTTCCATTGGGTTAAGAATCTGAGCCCAATTTTTTAGAGATACAATGTCCCAAGTTTTAAATATTTTCTGTACACTGATTTCAGCTGCAAACTAAAATTAATTTAGTTTTGGAATAGGTTCTTAACTTCTATTAAAATAAAGTGAGGTAGACAAAACTTAAATTTTGAAAACATTTACACTTATGCAAGCATTTTCCAAAAGTAACAAAGATTAGCTTACATAAACCTTTATCTGACCTCTACTTTTTAAATAAAAAAACATGTTTTCAGGGAAATGCGTCTTAGAAGGGGAGAAAAAAAAAAAGGATTTTTCCCTCTGATTCTTGTAAAACATTAGGTAGCTGAGTTCACTCATTTTTTTTCTGTTTAAAATGGGTGAAAGCTTTTTCCTTCTGCTAGTATTCTATTTTGGTTATCTTCTAGAAAGAGGGAAAAGCCAAAGTAATTTTTAAGAAATACGCATACAGCTGAAAATGTCAAGAAAGACCATCAAAATTCATACTAGAGGAAACAGCATTAATCATCATAAACACTCAAAAGAACTTCTCTTAATAGCCATAAAAATAAGTGATTAAGATTCCAATGAAGTTTGCTGATTTTTCTTCGTGCAAAACACATGAACATGCATTACACTTTAAACAGCTGTACTGTCCTATTTGTATATGTGAAGTGCTGTTATTTGGACCTTAAACATATACCTGTTATTGGTAGTGCTGCTGCGATTCATGCACACTAATTTGACTAGTCTATTTATAGGCCCAAATGATCAACCTGACCTTCAGTTTGTATTTATAGGCGTGCACAGTCATTTGCGTGCAGCAAACGGGCAGCCATAACCACCTAGTGTGTGCTGAAATAGATCAGTCTGTATGCACAATAAGATGCTTCTTTCTTGGACAGATAAGGAAAGCGGGTCCTCTAAAGCTAGAGGCTGGCAAGACACTTGCGGGGAAAGTGGATCTTTAGTTCATATTTCAAATTCAGTACTGTGAAACAGCAAAAAAAAAAAACCCACAAACCAATTGTTCAAACCTGAAAGACATTCTGTACAAATTGAAAATAAAATTTTAAGTGATCTTTCTACAGCGTTGCATATCTGGACAACTAACTGAGACTTCCTTTTGAGAGAAGGCAGCACTGACTGATACAGATAGTAGTTTAACTCAGGGGGGCTCAACCTCCAGGTCTGGCTCCTGGTGCCATATCATTCAGCCCGCGTGGCCCTCACAAATCTGTAGGGAGCCTGTGAGCTACGGCCCCGTGTGCTAGATCAGATAGACAGGGAGGTGCAGAGCCCAGTCCCAGCACATGGAGGTTGGGTGAGAACAGCACAGGGCCAAAACCACAAGCACCACTGATTTAGCCAGACTGGCTGCGGAAAAAAAGATGCAATTAAAATAACCTTGCAGGTTTCTGGAAGAGATCAGCTATTACAATTTTTCAACTAGTGTCTCTGACAAAATTCTGTCAACTTCCTTCCAATTTATCCACATAAAAAAAGAAAGATATACTGAAAGTGCTTTCAAAATTGTTAAGTCATCTTACCAAGGTCTGGTCTATGCTATGGCTTCCAGCATGGCTGTGTCTGCCAAGGTTATGATTTATTTACCCATTAGTGCAGATATAGTTATGTAAGCAAAATCGACTTTATGCCATGATAGCTTATAGTGATTCAGAAAAAGGAATAACTTATACTAATAAAAGCCCAATTATTTAGTGTGTTTTGCTCACCTAACTCGACTGACCTAATTAGTGCAGACAAGGCCTTATTTAAAATTGGACAAATCACCATGTATAGGAGCTACCATAGCAAATTGATTGAGTAAAGTTACTATTAGCAAGGCAATGATAGCTTTCCAACAGGCATTCTTGAAGCTGAACTGACTTATCTCTTCTTACAGTAAGCATGAAATGTTTTAGTAAAATTGCTAGCACCTGGCAGTGAATTAAGACCTTCATTATTGTACTTTTGCAGCCAGACCCCACTGGATACTGCATATAAAACCTGTCATATTAATAGCTGAGGGTCTGTCATAAAGAATGAAGTTAGTTTTATTTTAAAAAAAAAAATGTAGGTAATTTAATTTCTATTTGAAATAGGTGGCAATAACCTTTACAGTGTAAGATCTTAACAGTCCTAGAAAGAGACATACTATATAATAACAATGTTCGGGCAAGACATGATTTTCATCTATTTCTTCAACCATACCACAACTCTAAACTTAAAAAGATTACCATTTCAATTGCTTTTCCATTCAGTCAATTAACTTGGCTCTACTTGTTTTTGATTAAATGTTGTCCCAATCATTTCAATAAGTAGTGACATCACCAGTATGAAGTCAGCCTTGCTGGTTAGAGTACATTACTGCACAATGAAAACAGATGAACTCTGAGATTCAAAGAGATTCCCTGCTGGCATGCGAACTCCTCTTTACAGTTCCAAGAGGATACTATTAACAGAGGGAAGGCTCAGTCCTCTGGTCTTTGCCTCACTTCTACTGCACATTGCCCAAGGCAAAGACTGAAAAGGGTCTCTAATCCAGCAACATTTAGTGATGTATATAATCCTAATAGGACTGGTCACATCAATGAAATTACCACTCCATCAGCCTAGATGGGATCAGGTCCTAAACCTGCACTCCAGCCAGCTCCCAAGTACCATGCACCATGGTTTGTTATTCAGTTCCAAACCTCAATTGGGAGGTGGGAAAAAGAAAAATCACACACCATTTTATTAGTGAAGAAAAATCAAACATGGTATTATTTACAGCTGGCCCAATGTCATGGCTTACTCTTTTCTTGTAGATGACCTGGCGTTTTTTATCAGCGTATACATAAATGAATAGAAAAAAAGCAGATTGTCATACTGTCCTTTGTATTTCTCTTTCAAAACCTCCTGATGATAGTCCACAAGAAAATAATAAATTGCTTCAATTGTGGAAAGGTACGTATCTGGCTTTCCTTTCTGGTGACGCCAAAAGCAAGTTTTCCTTGTTTTTAGCTCAATTTGCAGCAGCCCTAAAAAGAAAAAGAGTGCACACGTTAGGTAGTGTGGGCCAAACTGCAGAGCACCAGGCTGGCACTTAGAGGCCTAAGGTTCTGTTGTATTCCCAGCTCCATCACTGGCCTGGTGAGCAATACTGAGTAGGTTGCTTCACCTCTTGTGCCTCAATTTCCTCATCTGTAGAGTGGAGGGAACGATACTTGCCTTCTTTTTAAAGGCTAATGAAGAGTGCTTGAAGTGGTAAATATTAATTACGGACTCAGCAATTCCACACCTGATATTTTATGCATGTCTTCATTTCTTGATGGTCCTATCAAAAAAGTAAGTCTGTCGATGTGGGGCCTGCTCAGACCTACCCACATTTGTAACAGTATATGCACGCTTAAAGTCTCTGCAAAATGAGAGCCTCTAAACACAAAGTATGATAACTCAGATAGTCAAAGCCTTCCTAGACCCTGTCTACAAGCAGCATTTTTATTGACGTAAAACCAAATTTCTTCCCCCTTTACTCATAGGGATGAGTAATAGCATTGACATCATTGGGACTACTTAGAATCTAGCATAAGCTCACTTATGAGAAAGGGGTCAAAAGATTTTCCTGTCTCTTTCTATACAGCTCAAGACTCCTTGTGAAAGATACACAGCATACAGCTTTAGTTTGTCTTTCCACATTTTACGTATACCAGTAAAGGCACTTAAGCTTAATAAATTGCTTTAAAAATCAAACACCTTGATATGCATCATGACAGCAACTCAGAGATGGTCAATGGCACCATTCAGACAGTACAATCAGAGTAAGCAGTTGAAGAATCAGAAAAATAACTGTACATCTCCTTTAAAAATGTTAACATTAAGATGTAAAATCCATTTCCTGAAATGGTTTAACATCCATAATTGCAACATTGTCTGAGAATTGCTTAGACGTTACAGACGGATACGTCTGGGCTGTCTCCAACATGGCCCCATTTCAGGAGCCCAGACTGGCCTGTAGCCCGGCATTTGCAATTCTGTACTTTTTATATATCTGCAAACTACATTTAACTCTTTCTGCCATTCATGTGGTAAAGTATGTATTTCACTGCTAGTAAAGAACACATATAATTTGCATATTAATAATTTTCTCCTCCTGCATTTAAAAAGTTATGTATAAAACAAGGAGTTACTTCTCACCATTGAATTGTGACATTTAATATATGAGTTTCAAAACTAAAAAATAGAAACCAAAATGATACTGGCTTATTATTCCTGTTAATATCCTTACCCCAAGGGCAATTTCCTATAATTAGAGCCATATAAATAGAAATCTTCCACAAATTTCAGTAGTCGCTTTTGTTTACTTTAACAGAGGATTCCTGTAGCCAGAAAAAACAGTGGTGAAATCTTGGCCCTCTTGGCCTGTAAGTCAATGACCAAACGCTTGCTGAATTCAAAAGGAGCATGGTTTAAAAGCAGTGACCTAAATGTAAGGGAAGATTCTTCCAGAGTTCCCATTGCTTAAGATTTGTGGGCAGAAGAAAGGGTTGTCAAATGTTCAATGACATAAGTGAGCAAGCTCACATGTAGAAGTAAAAATCAGTTAATTTCCAATACACAGAATTTAAAAGAATTTCAGAACAAAAGACAAAATAATTTAAATGTGAATTTAATAAAGCATATTTCTATCGTGGTTAGAAATAGACCCTGCATTTGTCCCAAAACAAGTCCCTCAGAAATATATGGGATAAAAATATGCTATTGCTTTTTTCCTAGGACTTGGCTGTGTGCATCTTTAAGATTATTGTGCTTTTCCCCCCAGACAAGCTGGCCAAACTCTGTATTCCTCTCTGGCAAAGGAACAGCAATACTGCTTGGAAGGGGAACATTTCAAATGATGGTACCAGACATGTTTTGAGCCAAGTCAAAGCCTGGGAGAATCAGACCCATGTTAAAGGAGGTGTCTATTTATAGCCCACCTCTGTACTGTATATATAAAAATAACAGCAGTTATTACAAAATGTGATTGTTTTTATTTAAGTAATATTGGCTACCCAGGAAATCAACATTTTTACATTTCCCCCCATTTTTAATATCCACATATTTTGAGCTCACAAAAGCTTGTGCAAGGCTGAGATTTACGCAAGATGGAAGTCCATACATTTAGAAGACTCTTCAGGAGAAGATAACTAGTTTGGCTGTTATAAAAGCCATTCTCTTTCACACATGCACATACACACACTTTATTTATCTGGTCAACAATAAGTCTGTTTAGAAAATACAAATCCCTTCCTTCCCCCACCACCTTCCCGCACCTCATGTGCTGCATCACATTACCACAAGATGATGGTATCAATATTTGCAAACTCCCATTTTAATGACTGTAACAGGGCTCTCAGGGCCGATTTGCCTTTGGTCCGCCCACCTGTTTCTGGGCCAACTGCCCACCTTCCTTCCTGCCATGCCTTGTTATCTAATTAATGATCTTAATTAGGTGGGAGGCTGCCCATTTTCTTGCCCCGATGCTAGGGGGCGCTATCTGTGGCTCTGATTCTCCCCCACACTCAAGCCTCTCAGATGGCATCCAGATGACACAGTCCTCCTGGCCTACAGCTGGACCAAGCTTAGCCCTCGTTGTCGGGCGTCAGACATGCACATTCATACCGCCCTCCTCTCACGGGGGCCTCTCGCATTCCACCCACTCTCACAGGGTCTCTTTCACGCACCGACAACTTATGCTACCTTGCCCCCTCTTGGAGCAGGCCCCTTAGGCCATAGGCTTAGCTAGTTCATACCTTGGGGGCAGACGTACCATCTTTTGGGCCTCTCCTGCGGCCGTCACCGGGCTAGCGGCCAGCCAATTATCTGACCTAAGCTTGCTCTGGCCCCTGCCGGGGGCAACTCTATACATATAAACGTACTGGGCTCTCAGCTCTCTGGTTTGTCCCCACCTTCACTGGGGCTCCTCATCTCTGCCCTCTCACTGGGGCTCCACACCACCCCCTCCACTTGGGGCTACTCATCTCTGCCCCCCTCACTGGGGCTCCACACCGCCCCCTCCACTTGGGGGCACAGGGCTTCCCTCCCCAGTGGACTCAGATGGCTGTAGCTGTGCCTGGCACCAACTACCTTTCCTCAGGGTCTTGTACCCCACAGGGCTCAGGTGGCCTCAGCCATGCCTGGCCCCCACTCTCCCTCCTTGGGATCTTGCACGCCACAGGGCTCAGGTGGCTGTAGCCATGCCTGGCCCCAACTACCTCTGGTGTTACGTGACCCACCCAAAGATGAGGGCTAGGGTTAAGGCGCCCCTACCCACCTTTCACTGGGGTGATAACTGGCCTGGCATTTCCTGGGGGCTTCTGCACCACTGAGAGCCCCACCAGGTCACCCACTCCTGTCAGGGTGCAGTTTTAGGTCATGCTCAGGACCAAGAGCCTCCTAGCCATCCGTTACAGCTCCTGCCCTTACCTCCAGGATGATACATGAAGCCTTGCACCCAGGCAATGTTGCTGCCTGGCCTGCCAGCAGCAAACCGTCC